TTTGAATTGTAGTTATTTGCATAATAATTTTGTGAAGAAGATTGAGGGTGAGTAACCCCCCCCCCCATATTAGAAGCCCCCGTATTAGAAGTCCCCTCTGGAGGAATCGATGTGGAAGATGTATTAGAAGCCCAAGGGCTTCTATTACGTCGGAGAAATAATTTCAGTTTTTTAAACGACACATTTGATCGACACGCGTTTTTTTACTTTAATTGTTCTTGTGTGATGTCGTGTGTAAAAAAAGGAAACGAATAAAATTTACATTTTTTAGCTCGAAAAAGATTTTTTTCAGATTAATTGAGATTACCGTGATTAGAAAGGCAAGAGCATCGAAATTCAACATCTCCTTTTTTCTCTGAAAATTTTTGTACGAAAGCCGTAATAGTAGCCCCTTCGTAATACAAGCCCCCCTAAAAATTTTGAACACTTGGACAGTTTAGAAGCCCCGGAGGCTTCTATTATGAGGGGGGGTTTAGTCGATTCGTTTGTTGGATATGATGGTTCAATTTGATTGAAAATAGAATTATGATGGTGTGGTGATTGATTGTTATGATTGGAGATGCTACGTACGTGGAGGTGCTACGTACGTCTGAGAACCAATTGTAGGAGAAGAAACATTATGAGCTACTGCAGTTAAATTATCTGATACAAAATTACTCAAATTTTGATCGCGACTAATTAATGTATTCAAATCTTCAGTTTTCGAATACTCAAGAAACTCCGCAACTGTTTTCGGATTTTTGTCAATAACTTTTAATTTAATGCATGGTTTTAAATTGTTCAGTAAATGCTGCAATTTGATTTGCTGAGATATTTTGGGATCGGCTTCCCGACACAATGTTATTACTTCTGTATAATATTGCTTAACTGTTTAATTATTAGTTTGTCAATAATTTTGTAAACGTTGAAAAGCAATTGTGATTTCATAAGTTGAGATACAGGCCTTCTTGATTTGTGTTTTAAATTCGTTCCACGACATTATAACTGATTGATTATCTTTATACCATTGCTTGGCATCATTCTTCAAAAATTGTGGGATATACTGTAATCGAAGATCTTCAGACCACTTAGAAGTAATAAACAAATGTTCTACTTCTTCGAGCCATGTTGAAATATTTTATTTTCCTGTGAATGTCTTTGGATTTTTGATAATATCTTCGATGACAGTCTTCGGCAAAACATTTTCAACTGTATCAATTGGAGAGCTAATTGCGAATGAATCGGCAGGAAATGTTGGTAAAGATGTTGTGGTAGAGCTCGATGAAGGTTTTCGATCGCAACTTTTGTAGAAGAAGAGATGAATGGATTAGAAGAAGAAATCTCAATAAATTGAATGCGAAATAATTCCACAAAAGTAGAAAAATTATCAAATTTAGAAAAATTTTCATAATACCAGATAAGCGACTGTCCACTAAATTTATGCTTTGTGTAGTATAACATCGTTTCTGGTTCTAAATCCAGTTCTCTGAACTTGCGAACCAAATTCGAAAACCAACCTCCCGCGCCAGTTCCATCAAAATTTGGAATGGTACTAATGACTCTTTGGGTTTCTTCTACTCTCTGTAGTTCCGATTGTGACTGCTGATTTTGTTCTTGTTCATGTTTGTTAACGATAGCAGAGGAAAAGGTGACGGATTGAGTTGTAGTTGTTACTGCGGATGGCATAGGCAAAGACGTTTGTTTCAATAAAGAAGATAGGTGTTGTTTAAAATCACTCCAGTTATTTTTAAAATGAAAATAATTTTGATCATGCCATTCTTGCACAGAAAATCTCCGAAACTTTTCTTAATCAGTCATGTTTGTAGCGCGCGAAATTCTGATTAAAATGAGGCATTTCCAGCTCTGCACGACCTTTCTTTGCAAAGTTATAGCATTTACAAGAAGAGCCCTAATTCCTTTTCCTTTTTCTTTCTATATCTGTCAGCGGTTCACTCTCAGTTTGTCCCAAATTGACTTCTCAGTTCAGCCTACGAAGCTTTTTTTCTCAGTTCGTCCCTTATTAGTTTACACTTAATTTACTTTAATATACTTGTCCATACCTCTTGCGTACGGTGCTATATATGACTGTTGTGGGTGTATAAACAGTTATATTGGGCAAACAACGAGAGCTGAAAAGCGAAAACAAGAACATAAAGAGGCTTTTCGAGATATTGGATTCTCGAGAATTGTATGACTAAATAGTGGACTAAGTTACATCTCCGGTATTACATTATTATTGTCATTTCTTTTTCCAAAATGACTCATCATACCGACTTCCTGGATTTTTCTCCACAACGATTGAGCATAATGGAAGAAACATCCATTGATTTTGATATGTGGAAAAATATCGACAAAAGAATTTATTGTGGTTTATTCGAAATCACAGGTCAGGCGCTGTGGACTCTCATTTCAACATTCAACTTTTTTACCATATTCGATTAAATGTTTCAATATTTTCGTGTAGGCAAAGAATATGCGCATGGTATCATGGATACCATCGTCGTCGACTAAATTTCGATGGTACAACAATTTATTTATTTTGAGGCGCGAGCATAGATATCTTGGACAAATTGAGAAGTCAATTTGGGACAAACTGAGAGGACACCCTCTGAGCTGACAATGAATATTTAGGGCTCTTCTTGTAAATTCTACAGCTTTACAAAGCAAGGTCGTGTAGAGCTGGGAATGTCTCATTTTAATCAGAATTTCGCGCGCTACAAACATGACTTATTAAGAAAAGTTTCGGAGGTTTTTTGGAGTTCCTGGAAAACTAGTTTTCTAGAAAATCAGTCTCTGGAGGTCTAACAGTACGTCTCATATTGATATTCAAAATTAACACGGTCGATTACCTATAGTCCACTAGGTTTCGGCCCGAAAGCGATTTGTCAGTTAGGAACGTTCCCTCGTTAGTAGAAACAGTATCATTTCCTTATGATTTAACATCTTCACTGAATAAACAAAGCTAAACTAACTAACGATTAAGAGATGTTATCGAAGCTTCATATAATAGGCAGGAGTACATCGGTTGGTGTCAGTTTCCAGCAAGGTTGGCGTGTTACAGGAAAATTTTGCATTGTTATTTCTGACGCATTCGATGGATAAACCACTTGAGAAAAGATCAAGAATAAAGTCAGCTGGCATATCATTCGATTCGGTTCCATACCCATTGTTATTCACAAAATTGCATGCGATATTGATAAAAATATTTATTTACTCAAGGTTCTGTTCTTTTGCTCTATCTGCTATTGTATTAATGTTTGCGAATGATCTTTTTTTGTTGTGTTCTACTACCGCAAAACGAAGATTTTGAATGTGTCCAATATGAAGCTGACAAAATATATAAATAGTGTTCCATAAATCTCATTAAACTAAATGTAGAAACGTGTCTCTAGCTTTTTCTGCTAGATCAAAACTTCATTTAGCTTCCGGAATATTAAGCCTAGGAGAGGACGCTTTATAGCCATTTAATGAAGTTAAAGTACTGGCGTTACACTTAAATATGATTTGAAATGGAATGTACATATATAAAATACAACTATCCATCGAATGTCGAAAAATGTTGGAAACAATAAATCGAACGTTTACAAGAAGCACCGTCAAGAGTGAAAACTTATTTTTGTTAGACTTGTGGTTTAGGCATGTGTGATATATGACAGTGATTTTAAAATTCATTTTCGAGCGCATTTGGAAACTTGCGAGTCGAATCACCAACGGTGACTACACATCCCAGTCAGAATTATTGATAAATAGAGCACGACTTGAAAAACTGTCCGTAAGAAGAAAAATTTTTAAATTGTAGCATCTCTGGAAAACGATTAACAACTCCACGACTCTATCATGGTTTCAATTGCTAAATTTGGACACAAATAGGCGTTCTCATCGCGCAGATCATTCTCGCATGTGCCAATGTTCAAAGTGTAACATGAATTATTTTAAGGTTATTTCTGTCAACCTTCTAATGCAAGTAGTCTTATTCTAACTATCAATGCACGTTGCTGCGCGTTCTGCTTTCAGTTTTATTTTTTGTGTGATTTGTTGTTCTTTTATCTCTTCTCCGTTTTACTTATTTTTACTCATCCGTATCCAAAAGGCCCTTGACGACTTTTTACCTCATACGTTTTGTAAAATTTTTTGCAAAATCTTGCAGTCTCTACTGCTGATTCTGTATAACGTAGTCAATGATCCATCATCGTTACGTCATCATTTGTAGTTTATTCCTTATACTGGTGCTTATAAATTATTGTTGTGAAAAAACTGCTCTCCCAATAAGCTTTGGATCACGAATAAAAAGATATGACGCAAAAATCCCACGCATAGTACATTTCATTACAGGACAAGCTAACAACACTCCTCCGTTTCACTTCATTCATTATTTAACCCTATTGGCTGCACGACGAATTCTGAAACCGACACAATTATATTTGCATTATTTCAACGAACCAGCATACTCTCACTGGTATAAGAGAGCGAAAAACGATAAAGAAATTGATTTGGTATTGCATAAAACAAGGCAGGTTGTGAAAGTTTATAATAAAACCATCAAACACTATGCTCATCGTAGTGATGTGCTGCGACTAGAAATACTCCTTGAATATGGTGGTATTTATCTTGATTTGGATGTTTTAGTACTTCGTTCATTTGATACTCTACTAAATCTAAGTGACACAGTTATGGCACATCAAGATAGATATAACAAGACTGCATGTAATGCTGTCATTATATCACAGCCCAATTCAATATTTCTAAAACGTTTATTAGATGCCTATCAAAGTTTTAATCAGAATTGCTGGGCATGTCATTCAGTTCAAGTACCAAGGCAGTTATCATTAATTTATCAATCTGAAGTTACTATACTTCCATCAGAAACATTTTTTCGTCCATATTGGTCTGAAACAAAACAGTTATATGTGTATAATAATTACAATTTTACAAAAAATTACGCTTGTCACCTATGGAGTAAACTAACTGATAAAAAATACTTACAATCATTAACACCTCATACTGCATTAACACTAAATAGTACATTTGGAAGGATGCTACGGTATGCCATTGGGACTGATACACTCAATCAGTTGAATCAAACATCTACAACGTAGATTAATGCTTCACTCTGTGTGAATGAGATCTTAAAAAACGAAAAAATGGTCACCCCATCGCTAAATATTGCTTCGTATACGGTTCTCACCAGCAGATGTGCCGTACTTGACTGTATATCGTTACACACTAAACGAAAAAAAGCGAAGCGAACGATATCTCTATTAGCTCATTCCAATATTACAAGCATCGCGCGTATGAACTGAAAATATACTTTGCTCGAAAGTACTATGGTAGGTTCTTTCCTAACCATATTTAATAGACACACAATTGCAGTCTTGCTAGCTCTTATACCACCAATGTACAAAAGCCTGCTACATCAGAACGAACGTTTCATCACGTCTTTGTTCCACTAGAGTTAAAATGGTGGCAACTCGATTGATTTTTCTTATTCTATCGCGTTTTGCAAGTGCACACAATGTCTGTTTCCACGTATTAATCAAGCGATCGTCCAACGGCATGGACATAAATGGATCGACAAATGCGGCAAGAAAAATTGTCAGTTGAACAAAATCGTTCGCATCACTTCTTGCTATTACAAATAAAATTTTTTCAAAACTAGTTCATTCAAATAAAACTGATTTTCGACAGAACAGACAGAACTAAAAATTTTAAAACCAATGCGGCTATCATATTAAGAATTTTAATAAAAAGTTTTAATCAAATAATAAAAAATAAAAATTAAACAATTAAACAATTAAAACTAAAACATTAAAATTATAATTCGATATTTCGACCTATTAATACGATCATTTCAAAGTTTCTCCTCGTACAGGATGTTACATAAAGTTTAAAACAAAATAACTGATTGTATATTATCTAGTGTTTTTCTAATCCAGGCATACACATCACTATAAAAAGGCTGAAAATCCATGTGCATGACAAGGAGAGAGGAAAGAAAGAGAACGAGATTATGAATGGAGAATTTTCTTATATGTACATTTTATTTTATTATAAAGAATAGGTTGAATTGAAAAGAAAAGAAATTCTAAAAACGCTCGCTAGTGTTGAGTCATGTAAAGATAAAACATACTGAAGAAAAAGTGAATTGAAGTAGATGAGAGAAATATTACTGTACTAGCCTCCAATACCTTTCCTAGGAATTTTTTTCCTCTATCCCAGAGATTTGATATTGCCCCCTCAGAATACACGTACAGTGGTACCGAACGATCAGTATCATTAAGCATGGGTAAGCTAGCCCGAATGACTAACGACTCCTTAACCAGCAACTTATACCTTTGTTTTTCTCGTAAAACAATTTCAAAGTTATTACCTGTAATCACATGTCCAGTATTAGAGTAGTG